ACTGTACAATCTGCAGTACTGAAATTTTGCAAAATAAAATAAGGTACAATGTCGGCTATATCCATTAAAAATTGCTGAGATCTCATTTGCACTTGTGATAGATGAGATACAACTCCAACAGTTATTTGGCATTATCTGAGAAATTATTGGAGCTAAATAGATATTTCGTGAAAACAAGTGTGTTATTAGGGCTGTTATGTGTGATAAAAATCGTTGCGATTTCTTCACTCCATGTGGTAGCCACCATACAACTTCAATAGTAATTTGGTCATATCTTAAAAAATATTGAAAACACAGTACTGAAATTTTGCGTAAATTAATATGGCAATACGGCAACTTAAAGTCACAGTCTGTCCCATAGTCAGGTGTGGTATATTTACTCGCAAATAGCTATTATATTAGTAAATAGGAAAATCGTAAAATTTTTCATACCCAAAAAATTTTACACTAGATTGGATGTCTGAATAACATAAAATGCGCCTTTGGTATTGGATAGCAAGGTAGATACACAATATGATGTAGTAATATGTATGTACTCCGTTTATATGCCTGCTTCAAGCTTATTATTGTCTATATAAACGTTACTTGACCTGAAGCCGGCTTCACTTAAGTCGCTTACTTGACTTGAAATGTTAATAATGATTCGAAATTTTATAGCTAAACGTCGTTTTTGGGCTTTTAAGCTAACATAGTAAAAACGCAGCTTGAACTTCGAGCCGATTTCACGTCAAGCCGCAATGTAAACGAGGCATAGGAATTAAGCAATTTATAAAAAAATGCCTATTACCGATACGCGTGTATGTATGTATATTCCTAAGAAATATTTGTTTTAAATTTTTAAAACAAAATTTAAATTAAAATAAAAGATTCATAGTTTATATTACAATAAATGTAATGACAATTGCTTATTACAAATTTTAAGTTTATTGTTAATATTATTTGTCTTTTTCAAATTATATACATATAATATGTAAATTACATATATATATTTTTTTTTAATAGTCAAATTTTATTTTAAAACCGCTTCGCTTTTATAATATGGATACAAAATTTCTGCCACCTTGTACTGGAATAAGTTCAAGAAACAAAACTCCCGCTTTTAAAATTCTTAATATTTTTTCTTATACTTCATATACGAAAAAATAAATAACTCCCGCTTTTAAAAATACATTATAAAAAAACAGGTAGACATCTATTGCGTACTTTTTCCCTCCCCAAAATATTCTTATGTGTATAAAAACGAAAATAAGAAGCTATACTGCTTAACTCTTTTAACTAAGGGAATTTTTTGTATACAAATATTGGTGAGTGATTGCATTAGTGTGATGTAAACGGCGAGTCGAATTACTTATTAATAGATATACTTTGCTTTAAATATTAAAATCAACAGAGCGTTCACATAAGCGAGTCATTGCTACAAATGTTTTAATGCATACGATAATTTCACTAATATTCTGAAATATTTCAATTTACTAGTTTAGTGGCAAGTTGGAATATTTCAGAATATTAGCGAAGAAAAATAAGCATGATATTTTTTAAAAAATAAACGAAAAATATTTTAATTTCACTTTAACGAAATGAGATGTTGTTTTAAAACAAAATTTTAAAATAAAGTTGGGTCAAACCAATGGTTTGTATTGTAGCACTTTTCCCTTCAACAAGTGAAAATTCTGCTTTTAAATACAGTCTACGAGTATGGATACCTATCACACTATTAAAATTATTTTCATTCATACACAAAACTATTTCTAGGATTGCATATATTTAGGATGATTAGGATGATACATGCACTCTTTGGAATAAAGCAAAAATTAATATAAAGTGGGGTTAACATAATGCTCGATTTTAAAGGTTATTTGTGTGAGTTAAGAAAAATAATTATATTTTTTAATGTCATGGAAACTACCGTTAACTTTTTGCGTTCAAAAATTCAAATTTTACAAATTTGAAGGGGCGATAACTTGAGAGGGGGTGGAGATGGAAAAAAAATTTCTTCTAACAAAATAAACTATTTATTAATGTCTAAAAGCCTCTAAAATTTCAAGCTTCTACAGGCTGGGGTCTAGAAGAAAAACGACATCAAAAATTTGGAAAAAAAGACTTTAGATAACGGTAAATTTGAACGGCCATTTTGTTTTTCTAAAGTTTAGCTATAGTATTCCGTGCTAGAGGAAGCAAGCCACTGTCTTTCTGCTTTTGTAAAATTTCAAAAATGCTTATGGTTTCATTGCAACAAATAGTTAAAAAAGGCCATTTTTAGGGTTTTGGGGGGGTATAACTTCTAGAGGGGAGGGAGATAGGTAAAAATTTTGTTCTACGGAAATAAGTTTCTAGTAGAGATCTATGTACATACAAATTTCAGCTTTCTATCTTCAAGGGTGTACAAGTTTTGTAAACAGACACACGGACGGACGGACGGACGGTCGGACGGACAGAGTGAAACTAATAAGCACTTTTTTTCAAAAATTTGTTGGAAAAGTGCTAAAAAGAACTTGCCAAATGCGAAGCAAAAAAAAATTGACAATTAATATTTTGCACATTATAATGACAGTGCAAATCGTCGGTTAATACGTATAAGCCTAATTACAGTTGTTATTTTTTAAATAATATTTTATACTGCTTTAATATTGAAATTTTTACAGCTCAATCATAGATAATATTATAGTTACATAAAATTCCATACAAATTTATAATTTGTTAAAACAAAACAATCATTAAAGTCAGAATATGAGAACAAAAACTAAAATTTTGAGATAACTTTTTCAATCACAAAAAAAGTAAACAAGCGCAAATTTATAAAAATCTTAAAATTTAATTTTGTTGCCAAAATAACGGTTCTAAAAAATGTAAACTACTTTTCAAAGTAACTGTTTGGGTCAAAAATTAATAATACTTGTGATTAGTTTTATTACAATTAAGTGACAAATGTCTCAAAATTAGTGACATTTGTCTGATTTTTTACATTTTACAAAGGCCCTTAAAATCTTGACATAAAATTTGTTTTTGTGTTATATCTCTTGTACTGTAAAAGGTTTTTTATCGTTTGAGGACTTAAATTAAAGCTTATGGAAGTGGCCAAAATTCTGTAACAGGGAAAATTGTAAAAACGTTTTAGTCTGTATAAACCAACCGAATTGTACCCTGCACATTGGCAACCTGAGTTTAAAATTTGTTTTTGAATCACCTAGCTTTAATTGTTGTATACCAAGTACTCGACTACCAGGTTTCGTGAATTAAGCTTCATTATTTTTCCAAAGATCTAAAATAAGCGTTGGGAGTAATATGGCAGACACCAAACTGGTGCAGCCATCCCATTAAAATTTTTGGAGCATATAAAGAATTTAATCGAACACACATATACGAAATTTCATATTTATTCTTTTATTAGTTTTCGAAATATTTAAAAATACTTTTTGAGTGGTATGGCTGCTATCCGAACACCGTTGTACAAATTAGTCCAATTACAATAGTAGTCGTCCTTGTCAGAAAAGAAACAACTTGTGAAAGTTTATTGTCGATTGCATTGTTCGTTTTTGAGTTATTGTGCGATCAGACGGGCGGACGGACTTGGCTAGATCAACGCAGAATTTTACGCTGAGCAAGAATATATATACATGTCCATGACGCAGACATTTCCTTCAAGTGGTTATAAATTCCATGCCAAACTGAATATGCCTTCACAATGGTGCAGGGTATAAAAATACGAAATGGCAAAAATAGGTGTTTTCCCAATGTTTGAATGAATCGTTTTCCGAAAGAACATAAAATACAAAATTAAGTAATATGTTGCTTTCAAGCCCTTTACTTGCCCTTTCAGAAACTGTTTATGTAAATCCTTTACCTTTTTCGGAATGGAAGTTATTCGCATAAAATCTAGACCAAGTAAAAATCACTGTATATCGGAAACCCATGAGTTTTTACAACTAGTTTCAAACAAAAACTTTAACCACCTTTGATGCCTTAAACAATGATATATAATATTGTACTCTTTACAGAATCACATTGTACACTTTAATGTCATTGTTAAATTTCACACCAGTTTTAAGAATTTAAAGATCTGCTTTGAAGAGCTTTCGATCGGTTTGTTTGTAGCTATATTGTGTAGCTCAATTTCGACTTGATCGACTTTGTTTAAAACTTAACATTTTTGCAAATATAGAAAAAAAACTTTATAAGGAATCGATTGATTTTTTTTTAAATTAAATATAACGAGAAAAAGGAGAGTTTACATGGTCAATTCTACTTTTGCGATACTCATACGAATTTGTTACCCCATGAGCAAGTAAATATGCCGTAGCTGACTATGGCACATACTATGCCTGTAAGTTGTCGCACTACCTATTAATTAATGCAAAATTTCAGTACTGTGTTTTTAATATTTTTTAAGATATGGCCAGACTATTTTTGAAGTTGTATTACAGCTACCACAAGGAATGACGAAATTTCAACAATTTTTATCACACATAACTGCCTTAATAATACACTTGTTTTCACGAAATTTCTATATTATAGCTTCAATAATTTCTCAGATACGGCCAAATGACAAGTGCTCATGAGATCTCAAGTACTTTTAATTAATATAACCGCCATTTTACCATATTTTATTTTACAATATTGCAGTACTGTAGGTTGAACCTTTTTATTATATAACCAAATAACTTGTGAAGTTGTATGGCAGGGACCACAAGGATCAATACCATAGCTGTTATAATTTCTGAGATATTGCCAAATAAATTTTGAAGTTGTATGTCTAACCGAACCAGTACCTCGATCATATCCAATATAAATAGGCTTCTGGCATTTACTAGAATGAATAATTTGTGAAAATTTGTTGAGTTTAGCTCAATTAGTTTTATTTAGGCAAACGGATTAACAAAGCTTAATCGACTCAGATAATTATTTCTTAACGTAACAAACGGAAAGGCAAATTTAGTATACCCTTCGAACACACGTTGGTATGGGTGTAAATATATAATTATATATATATATAGATATAAATTTTTTGAAAATATGAACTCTACTACAGTCCATTAAAAATATACCACGCTGTTCTTTAAAAAAAAAACGTAAATTATAAATTAATAATGCTAATGTATTGAAAAACAAAGTATTTTTAAAATATATCACAAATTTGTAAAAAAAAATATCTGATCTTTTCTTTCTTTACAATTATTTTATTGGTACGCGTTAATTGACTAAAGTAAATAAAGATTGCATATAGTTAAAGTGTTATTAGTGGTGCTGTTACATCGCTGTTCACATTGCTGCGACACTGCGACAAAGAGAGGCGCAATTTAATTTACATCTGTTAGGACAGCGACAGTAATTTAAAAACAAATCTGTGTATCACATTATTAAAATTAGTTTCATTCATATATACTTCAAAGATTCTATACATTTAGTATGAGTAATGCATGGAATCTTTGAAATAAAACAAAAAAAATTAAAGAGGTGTTAACATTTAGGATGAGGAATGCACGGACAAGCACGGCTTGAATTGACCTATGCCTTTTTGTCAGCATTGTACTATTTCTCCAATTTTTTCTTTTAGTTTTTGAATTTTTTCTTTTAGTTTTAACATAAGCTGTTTTTTTTACTTTTTTTAAATTTTTCTTTGAAATTATATTTTTTTTCATTTTACTTTTAACCCTTGTGTTCGCACCTTCTCTCACTTTAGCTTTGATGTAGTGCATGTGTAAGGCGCGAAATATATTAGCAAAAATAAAAGAATTTTACTTCGAATAAAAGGGAATTTTCCTTTCATATACCTAAAAAAACCTTCTCTCACATTATTAGTCACTCCTGTAATTAGTACAAATTTCTTTTTCGTAAGTAGTTAGGACATTCAATTTTCGTAAATAGTTGCTAACCTATATTCTTAGTTCTTTTTTTTTTAAGCCATTTTTGTAATTTTAAATGAACTTTATGCATTTTTTTATTTTTTTAACATTAATGGAAGATAACTGTGTTTAAAGTTTTGCTTAAATTTTCATCAAATTTTAATAAACGTATGGCTTACAGTGCAAAATTATGACACTCTAACATTATGATAGTTTCATGAAAAACGAAAGTGAAAATTAAAGTAATTTAGGATACTGATTACGAGAATGAACATACTGCATTTTCTCGAATTTGCTTAGAGCACTCTGATGTAGAAGATCTTGTTAATCATAGTGAACCTATAGAGATAAATTTTGACATTACAAACAAAACAAAACGTATTATGTTTTGTTTTAAATTACAAAATGCCTTCTATAATCCCGACTTAAGTTTTTATGTTAAATTTGCGTTTATCTTTCGGAATTTGTATCGTTTACTTCGAAGTTTTTTATTTTTAAATTTTATTATGAAAAAAATTCCTAATATTGAACAACATTTGTCAATTTTATTTTTCTTTTTCAATATTTTTTGTTTATTTTACAATTTTAAGTTTCATTTTACACACGTAAGAAGTCGAAATTGAAAGTTTTGAACAAATATCATACAATCACCCGGATGACCACTTATGTTTTTACATCATAAAAATTTTAAAGGGCTGTTGAATGGCTAATTTGAATTTCAATTTTCTTTTTTAAAAGCCTTTAGAAGAAACTAATCTTTAAACAAGCTTATCTCGGAAGACAGGCCAAAAAAGAAATTTTTTTATTACGTGCATACGTACGTAAGTATATGCATGTACAAATTAAAATTTTAATACATTATTACGTTATTATGTGATTTATATGATTGTGATAATATGGACCTTTTATTATATACTTCCCGCTATTTTTGCAGCTACACATATTATTTTGATATATTTAAGCTATAGTTTAAGTTTTTGGAAAACATCGTTTAATTGTCCAATATTTGAAGCAAATTCAGTCAATTAAATCATCTGAAACGGCGCAAGAGGCAAAAATTAGCTCCGAAAATTTTTTTTAATTAAATTAATATTGGATATAAAAGGTTTAGTATAATGTAGCACGGATTGTAGATTATTGAAAAAAATTTATATTCCTCTTTTTGACAAAATATAAATGGAATGACTGCATTAATTAAATTCTTATTCAAATTAATTAAAAGTTGAGAAATTTATGCATATGATTTAAATACAATAAAAAGGAGTGAATATGTACGTAACTATGTACATGTAGAAAACAATTTTTGTAAGTTGTAGCAATATACTTCACTGAGTGTTTAAGCTAGAATGAACTTAATGTGAAAAAAAAAATAAAATATTTGTGAAATTTTTATACATAATTTTAATGAAGAATTTATTAAATAAGGCGCTCATTATACCATATTCAGAAGTCCGTATTGTTTGTTGTGTTATTTGCTGAGTTGTCAGAACTATTTTCATCGTGATCACTTGCTGGTATAGCTAAAGACATAGTTGGGGCGACCATTGTTGGTTCTGTGTTTCGCCTTTTCATTTTTTTATTCTTTTTTAGCATTGTTGCCTAAAGGAGATGATTTGAATTTTTATGAAACAATATTTTTTACAAATCAAGAATATAATTATGTATTACTATAATTAGTTTATTTAATAATTTTTATATGAAACAATGACTTGAATGATTTTATTTTTTTAACTAATATTTTTTTGCACAATTGTAAGTTTTTACCCGGTGCGGTTCGGTCGAATGGTCTTTTCAAAAGAATAACTATGTATGCAGATGTACTGCAAAATACGTATTACTATTTCTTAAGGTTAAATTATAAAATATTATAATAGACAATACAATATTATAATAAATATTACGGTTGTCGTTTTTCAAATTTTAAAATCTAAAACATTATGCCCGAAAGTTAATTAAAAACAAGTAAAAACGTTTTAGTCGGTATAAACCAAAGGAATTATACCCTGAATCTAGGCAATCTGAGTTTAAAATTTGTTTTTGAAACACCTAGCTTTAATTGTTGCACACCAAGTACTCGAACCTGCCAAACCACTCTATAGAAATTGCACTGATATGTCCGATCTATAATTGGACACACAACTGCTTCGTTATTTTCCCAAATAATTAAAATTTATTTTTTGAGTTGCATGGCAGCTGGCCGAACATGTCAAGCTATTACACCGGAACTTCAGGATTATATGTGACCTACAATTGGACACATGAGTGCTAGGTTTTATGAATCTAACTTTATTATTTTTCCGAATATTTAAAGTTAGCTTTTTAAGTTGTATGGCAGCTACCAGAACCTGTCAAGCAATTCAAGCAGAACTTTAAGAATATATCTGATCTCTAATTGGATATATCTGCTAAGTTTCATGAATCTGATTTAATTATTTTTCCTAATATACAAAATTTGCTTTTGGAGTTGTATGGCAGTTATTCGAACCGGTACAACCATCCCATTAAAATTATTAGAGCACGTAGGTGCTTATTATGTACGTAGGTCCATAGGCAATGTTGATAGTTACCTATATTATATATGTACAGTTTATGTTAAGATATATATAGTGAGTCTGAGGCTAGTGACTTATATAGAATGTTGCCGATTGTTAACTTTGTCTATGTATACCTACCACATTATTAAAATTATTTTCATTCATAAACGAAACTATTTCTAGGATTGCATATACATATATTAAAAATAAACAATTTATGCAGTCTTTGCAATAAAGTAAAAATTAATTTAAAGAGAGGTTAACATAATGTTCGATTTTGATGGTTAAGAAAAATAATTAAATTTTTTAATGTCATGGAATTTACCGTTATATTTTTGCGTTAAAAATAGAAATTTGAAAAAGGTTGCGGTTTTGGAAAGACAAGGCGTCATAAATTCGAATTTCACAAACTTCAAGAGGCTTGCAAAGAACTTGAAGGGGGGTGAAGATGGAAAAAAATTTTCTTCTAACAAAATAAACTATTTATTTGTGTCTAAAAGCTACTTAAATTTCAGGCTCCTACAACCCGGGTCTAGAAGAAAAACGTCTTCAAAAATTTGGAAAAAAGTTTGACTACAGTATGCCGGGATAGGCGGCAATGAGAAGCGAAGCTCATGTAAAGCCTTTGTGCAAAGAGCCAAAGCCCATAGACAAGAGCCGAAGAAAATGATATGGCTGTGAGGTGCATCCAAATAAATCTACAGCATGATAGAGCATATACTGATGTTCTAGCTCATAGATCTACGAAGGATCACCTCGATATGCCTTTATCCAAGAGCCTTATATAGTGAAGGATCAGGTTAAGCGCCTAGCAGGTGAGCTATTGTATGAAAATACAATTGGGGACAGGCCTAGTAATTGTATTTTGTTTAGTAAAAGGCTAACATATCTTCGCATTCCAGATTACTGCTCCAAGGGTCAGGTAGCTGCGATAGTGAAGGTGAAGTCTTCCTTGAAGATGACGGGATATATTGTGCGTTTTTGCAGAGGGATTTAAAACATATAGCCAACTAACACTGTTGGAAATTTTTCGTGCCATGCGTGGGGCTACATGCGTGGGGTGACGTATGTTACAAAGGCAGGTAAGTGACCAAGCAACCACCCCAGGTCTTACCGTGCCATTAGCCTTACTTCTTTTCTATTGAAAACAATGGAAAAAGTGATTGGTAAATTCATATGGGGCGACGCATTGGGAAGCAATACTTTGCATGAGTCTCAGTACGCCTACCAGTTGGGAAGGTCTACTGCACTCTCTCTGCAGAGAGAGGGGTCTAGTGGGGGTCCTTGAAAACTCACTGGAAGTGCGGGAGGTGGCAGTTGGCTGCTTTCTTGTAATAGAGGGAGCTTTTGGCAATACTCCATATCATGTCATTTGTGAGTCGTTGCACAAACGAGTGATTGATGCGACGACAAGCAGATGGGTTTATCCGATGCTACAGGATAGCATTATTAAGTCCACCATAGCTAACGATACACTCTTCATCACCGCTGCAAAAGGGTGTCCACAGAGAGGTTCTTTTGCCCCTTCTGTGGTCCATCGTAGTGGATGATCTAATAGCTGTTCTTGGGTTACGCCGACGATGTGGCCTTCTCCAGCAAAATTTACGTGTTGTAGAAAGGTAGTGCAAATGCGTTGCGTTATATATAAATCCCAGAAAGAGCACTTTGGTTGCCTTCACCAGACGTAGAAGCAGGAACAAATTTACAAGCCCAATTCTGTTTGATGAACGTATTAGTCACTCCAGAAAGGTGAGGTATCTGGGGGTAACCCTGGATGATCGCCCCTCCTGGAATACCTATATAGATAAAGTTATCGGGAGGGCAACAGCGGCCTTGTGGACGTGTAGGAGCTTCACCGGTGGGAGCTGGCGGAATAGTCCCAGGATAGCACTGTGGCTATATACGGTCCTTGCTAGGTCCATCGTCACCTACGCGTCCATTGTATGGTGCCATAAGGCTCAGCAAGCGGGTGTGCGGGCCAAGCTGGAAAAGCTGGAGAGATTGGCCTGCCTGGAAGTGACCGGGGCAATGCGGACGGCTCCTACCACTGCGTTGAAGGTGATGATTGGGTTACCTCTGCACCACCATATATTGAAGAAAGCTCGGTTAGTAATTTGCCGACTTCTCTCTGTGGAGGACAAGGCGTTGCGAAAGTTGGCCTACGGGACTCACAGAAACTTCGCGGTGTCCGCGCGGACACGCGTATATATGCGACCCTTGATCCGTATTGCACGGTGTTCCAAGCCGCAATACATGCAATAGAGATCTATCTGAAAGCCATTTAGAAAGGGGGTGTTTCTTTGGCGTGTTCCAGCGGATTCACCGCAGAGTTGCTATGAATGAACAGGAGTCGGGTTCGCGCTATTGCGAATTTCTTCACAGGGCACTGCCCATTGAAGTACCACCTGCATAGGCTGGGGAAGTCTGGATCCTTCCTGTGCAGATTTTGTGGGGGCGGTTTTGTGGGTAACTGGCTGTTCGGCGCCGACATTGTCTTGGAGATGGGTTCCTAAGTTTTTAGGAACTTCTGTCCCACCCCCTTGGGGATATCTCCGGCTTTATAGTTGGGACGGGGATATTATAGATGGGAGCGTGGGGAGACTAAAATAAATCAGGAATGGCTGCGGTGGCTCGGGGGTTGCTCCTGCCTCACTCGGTTGCCTTGGAAATCTAATCTAATCTAATGTCGCGATAGGAGAAGCAAGCCACTGCTTTTCTGCGTTTGTAAATTTTGAAAAATGATTATGGTTTCACTACAACAAATAGTTAAAAAATGGCATTTTTAGGCTTTATGGGGGGTATAACTTCTAGAGGATAGGTAAAAATTTTGTTTTACAGAAATGTTTCGAGTAAAGATCTATGTACATATAAAATTTCAGCTTTCTATTTTTGAGGGTGTAGAGGTTTTGTAAACATGTTCACAGACTAATAAGCTAATAACTAATAAGCACTGTTTCAAAAACTTTTTGGAAAAGTGCTAAAAAGAACTAACAAATGTGTGTGGTTAATTCACTAAGAAAAATTGCAGATCGCAACATTATAAAAAATTTTTTTTCTGATATGCTTGCATTCAGTATTCTAAAAATATAACAAGAACGCTACAAGACAATATCTCGTACAACTTTTAAATTAGATAGATGAAATAGAAGTCAATAGTTAATTTCCTTTTTTACTCTACAGCGTTTTTTATGAACATTTTTTAACAGCTTCTCGTTGAATAAGGAATAATTTTTTAAGAATTTCAACTTTTCTCAGAGAAAAATACAAAAGATATATACTGCGTTGCTCCAATACAAAAAATCTGATGTTGTCAGCGCGTAACCGAGTGCCGAGTATAAAATACAGTTTAAACAGTTTGTTTCCACTGAAATTTTCTCAGACTTAGCAAATTTCAGAAACTTTACCAAATTGCAACGAAAATTATAACCAAAATGAAAATCGGCGGATCAAAACTTCCACAAGAAATTAATTGTGTTTATTTTACTTTTAAAAAATCTTGTAGTAAATCTAACAAGAATAGATTAATTTCTATTATTCGCCGTCAGACAAAGTCTGATGTCAAACATTATAGTCATATATGTAAACAGTAACTTATTGATGGATTGAACATATTAACGGCTTTTGATTTTACTCTGCAAAAAGGTGTTATATTTTCTTGTTTTTAAATACATTAAATTATTGAAACTGAAGCAATACAACGCATAAGTTTTACTAAAAACTTTACTTTTCATAATTGAAATTTCATTTGAAATCTAATTTTTACATACTACATTTTGTAATTTTATTTATCTAGCAAATTCTTTAAATTCATTGTGCCAAAAGATACAAGACCACAGTAAATGTAATGATAATAATCATTTTTTTAATGTATATTAAATTAGTACTGAACTTTATAACGTTGTTGAATTTGTGACTCTAATTTGGTTAAAAAAATAATAAACTAAACTATAATATTCTTCTTTGCAGAAAACACAATTTACTATTTTAGATTTTAAGCAGCAGAGTATATAATGAGTATCAAGAAAGTTTAATTTATTTGAAATTTTTCGTTTTTCTTATACTATC